GAAAAATCGTACGATTTTAACGAGGAGGAATTAAATAAAATATTTCGTTTGTTTCAGGCATTTTTCACGTTTGTATATATCTACATGCTTTCCCACGTGGGTGAGGAATTGGCAATGAATTTAAGACGAGATTTATTCAAATCAATAATAATGCAAGACATTACGTTTTTTGATAAGAATCGCAGTGGCGAAATAGTCAGTCGATTAACCACAGATGTTCAAGAGTTCAAGAGTACTTTTAAGACTTGCATATCTCAAGGATTGAGGAGTACCACGCAAATCATTGGATGCATCATTTCTGTTATTGGAATATCTCCGCAATTGACGGCGGCTACGATTCTATTTTTACCTAGCGTAATTCTTATTGGTACAATAATCGGTAGGAGTTTGAGGAAACTGTCTTTAGAGATGCAGAATCAGCTTGCCAAGTCGACGGCTGTTTGCGAAGAGGCAATACAGAATATCAGGACGGTAAACGAATTTTATTGATGATTAGACTAAAGATTTCTTATGCATTTATGAATTGAAGTGAAAGAATTGAAGAATACAGATAAGTGTACATCATTATCTTTTTTTTTTTTATAGGTGAAAGCGTTTGCGGCTGAGGAAAAGGAGATAGAAATGTTTTCTGAACAAGTTACGTTGGGGTCGGAATTGTACGACAGATTAGGTTTCGGAATAGGCTTGTTCCAGGGTGGAACGAATTTATTTTTAAATAGTATACTACTCTGTACTTTGTACTTCGGTGGACATTTACTGTCCACCGGACAATTGTCTCCCGGTGAATTAATGGCATTTTTAATGGCCACTCAGACTATACAGAAATCTTTATCTCAATTATCGTTATTATTCGGATCGTACGTCCGAGGAATCAGCGCTGGCGCTAGGGTGTTCGAGGTACGTATTTTTTTTCTTATTAACACTAGATTGCCCAAGGAAGTCATTTTGACTGCTTTTGGGCAATATAGGTATATACTAAGTTTCAGTCTTTCTAGTGTTAATTATAAACCTGAAGATTTATATAATATATCATTATTGAATATCGTCAGGTGATCGAAGTTGCTAAAGAAGCAAATGCTCACGATTTCGTGACGAAATTTCCAAATAAATACGACACGCAAGTAGGAGAACGGGGGACGCAGCTCTCCGGAGGACAGAAGCAACGCATCGCGATTGCGAGAGCTCTATTAAAAAGACCGTCGATTTTAATTTTAGACGAAGCTACGAGGTAAGCAATTTTGGTCATCATCTCGAATCTATTCATCTAAATCTCATTTTCAGCGCTTTAGATTATGAGAGCGAGAGGATCGTGCAAAAGGCGTTAGATAACGTATGCCGAGGAAGAACAGTTTTAGTAATTGCTCATCGATTGAGCACGATTAAAAATGCCGATCTCATCGTTGTGTTACAGAGAGGAGTAATAGCGGAGGTACGTGTCGAAACGCTCGTAACGCGACACGAAAACGTTTTTAAGAAACGCAAACATTTTTTTTATTCGTCATAATATTTTATGTTCAGATGGGCAGTCATACAGAATTGATTAAGAAGAAAGGTTTATATTACACTCTGGTGAATGAACAGGACAACGAAAATACGTAATGATTAATGAACGTATTTAAATAGTACAATTTCTGTAACAAATATTTATTAAATTGGTTTAGGAATGTTTAGCGGACTACCTCAGATTTTACTACGTAAATATAATTATATTTTCGAGTAGATTATTCACTTATTCTTATCCTTAAATTTTAATGATACACCAGTAGAAATATTTTAAATAATCGTCCACTGACTCGTTTACATTTTATACGTACCTCGAGAAGTAATTGATTAAAATTGCTCTTATGTATCGTTCGAGCTTATCAGTGACATTTAAAACTGCTGACGCAATGGGTAGCATTATGTTCTTTGATACCGTTCTCATTTGTTGCGGTGAGCTCGTGGTTTTCGCTTTCGTTACATTTTTCTCAGCCTCGAAAGTCTCGTCGTTATCTGTACTTTGAGAATTCAACTCTGTGACTACGTTCTCTGTTACGAGATTTACACTACTGCTTGATAATTCTTCAAGATTGGTAACAGGGTTCTTAGAAGTAGCTTCTTGTGGAATTGATTCCAGGTCAAAGAACGCATTGTTTTCAATGATTTCACTAGCATTACTGATGATAGTAACGTCTCTTAACGTTACTGAATCGAATGAATCGTCTATTGTACTGAGTGTTACTTCTGTGGATGTCGATTCGCTAAATCCAATTCCTTCAGTAGTAGTAATTATAGTATCGAAATCATTTGCTGCGTCAGTACTCGAACATCCAGAGTCATATTTACTGGTTGTCAGATATTCTGTAGTATACGAAGTTCCAATTGCATCGTCTGTTATTTTAGACGATGTTTCTTCGTTATTACTTTCAGTTGTTAAATCATTAAATGGTATCAAATATTCTTGAATATTAGTAGATTCCGTTTGATCAGTGGTTGTCTGTTCATTTTTATTTAAGCTCGAATATGGTAGCATCGACGTAATAATCGGATTTTCATTAGTAAATTCAGTATTCGAAATTGTACTATCTTTAAAAGGTTCTTCAGTATTTTCATCATTATTTTCCAGTTCTTCAAATATACCTGAAGTCACATTTGGTACAATTGTAGACTGACTTTCTGAAACCAATTCCTTTGTAGTATATTCATTCACTTCTGTAGTCGTTTGGATTGTAGTATTCAAATCAGTAAAAATAATTGGAGTGCTTCCACCTTCAGCAATATTCTGCGTTGTGATATACTCTTCCCTGAAAATATTTCGTTCCACAAGAACTTCTGATTCACTTAAAATTGAATCGAAATTTGTAGGGACGTTCGTTACGCTATTAGTGCTTGTAAATGCAGGAGTATTTTCATAGTACTCCTCTGTACTTGCAGCTTTTAAGCTTGTTAAAATTAATGAAGGATTCGTTGTAACTTCGAACGGTACAATTGCGTCTGTAAATGAATCTTCCGAGGTCGTGACTTCAAATTCGTTAATCGATTCTTCAGTATTTTCTCCTGCTGGAGTGGTACTATGGTCACGTTCCGCTGTGCTTGCAGTATCGTTATCAAGTTTAATTATTAATGAATCAGTGGTCGTATCTACGTTTTCAACACTTCTCGTCGTACCCTCTTCCTCGTTCAGATATACTATTTTACAAATAATCGTCGTTCTCTTCTCTTCTCCTATCGGTTTCGAACGACGTACTAAATGTCTACCTTCGTTCAAAATTTGAATACTCGGTGGACATGAAAGAGGCAACGTGGAGTCGTCGCAAGTACTCGAAGGCGAACACATCCCGTTGTTCACATCGTACATCATTTTCTTTGGGCATCTGTAGAAATTTCGATTCATCCCAAAGAATTTCTTCCTGCAGGTGTAAAACAAGGCGCAGTCATTCGGAACTGGGAACGAGCCTGGGCTCTCGCACACCGGAAGTTCATTTGAATTCGATGGATCGGCAATCGGAATGTATCTGTCTCGAGGAACGAGGACGCATTTCTGCAAACGGTCTTCGAAGTGTCGCCCGTCGGGGCATTGCGCTAAAATCATTTTATTCCCCGTGCAGATGTAATAATATTTCGGGCTGGCGCAGTGAGGCTTTAAAGCGTTTACTCCGCAGGATGTTGAACTGTTTATGTGAAGCACTTTACCGCCGCCTATTACGTTCATACATTTGTTTTTTTCCTTGTCGAAGTATTGGTTGACTCGACAGAGCGGAGGATCGGATTTCAAATCTCTGGCGTACCTGTGTGCTCCGTATTCTATGATATCTGTGTCGTCAATCCCCTGTAGGTATAATTAGTAGTTCGTTTATAGGAACTGCAAGCACTAATTGAATCGATGAATTATATGAAAAAAAAAATTAAAATCTCCAGAATGTACAGAAAATACTTAGATGAAAGCTCGTGAATGTATGATAGTAGAGTGAATAAAAACTCACGGATTCCTTCACTGGCTGACTGACTACGATCGAAATTACGAACGAACTTAACACCACGAGAATCTTCATTTTAATGGAACTATAACTGTGTACACGTTTCGATCGTTGCCAAAAGTTCTCTGAGCTCTAAGGTGAAACGCTTCGGCATTTTTATATCGAAGACGTGCTCGATAATAATTACGATTAACGTCACTGCCACGAATGCATAGTGCGTACAACAAACGTATTCTCGGGAAGAGGAGAGATTGCATTCAAATTTAAATTGCTGCTTCAATTAAAAATTGTTTAATCAACTCATACCTGAAAGCGTCCGCGAGCACGTTTCACAGTTTTCGGAAGAGGACCGAGTAATCGCTTGAGATCGTGATTAAATTATTTAAAAACTGCATCGGTTCAAAGATAAGTGTCGGCCAGGGAACAAAGGGGGAAACAAATGTAATTAGAAATAAAAACAAATATTTATTACAGGACAGTATTGGCAAATAGTTAATAAGTCAGTAACAAATCTTTATAAACAGTATTTCGTTGAAATAAATATCTACAAGACGATCCTTTCCTCTTACTTCCTCGTTAAAATACCATACTCAGTAATCGGTTTCCAAGTTATGCTGGAAATAGGACTCGATTCTAGGATTGTATATCGTTGCTCGTGATTGAACCCCTGTACAATTTCTGCCTACGCTCCTCGTCGATATATATATTTATATATTCAACAATCGTATTGCGGGACTCGGTAGGTAAAGTTGTTACTCGTCACGATATGAATCCCTGCACCGTAGTACGGCATTACGTAGTGAGAACCATCGGCGGGTCCTACGATTTGCGTTGCGATAAGTATTACGTCGGCGAACTGGCCGAGGAAAAGAAATCCTAAGGTACTCAGCTTGAGGAAGCCCATCGCCGGATACCCTAGGTAAAATCGGTCTGCACCGAACATGCCAAGGAATATAGATAGCAACAACGACGTTTCGAAGGAATATCCATTTCTATAAAAATCAGAATATCATTTTAGTTGCTTTGTTAAGAATGGAACAAAGGAACAGGAATTAGTAGATCAATCAAGATTGCTCTGGCTATATGCTGATTGCAATGTTAAAAAATATTAAAAGACGAGTCTGCATTCTTTAAACTGATACCCCGAGTGATCTGTTTCACATAAAACTCTGCAGTCTCGTCTTATAGCAAACAAATTACACTTAAATTAATATACTTACGTCCATTTACAAGGAATGTCCTTTTTAAATGTGTTATTTTTTGTTTCTGTACAAATGAGGCCATCCGCAGCCAGACACAACACTAGTAACAAGATAACAAATATATAATTTCACCTGATTTACACACGACACTGTACGCATAAAGCAACTGAGGATCTTGGTTCGAGGAACGTGAAACAGAGGTTCAAAACGCTTAAGAACGACGAACGGCTCGAAGCTTTCGTCGGGAACAGGTTAGGTCGATCATCGATCACGGTTACAAGGGTGAAATGAAATAATAAAAAATACAAATGTCCCACATACCTTTGGCTTTGTTCTCCTTCGTGCAGCCTTTCGGCTGTTGCGTTTTCGGGTCTATGAAATCATAGTCCGGATGAGGGCAGATGTACTGTCCCATTCGTAGGTTATTACAGTCAACTTCGTGCGTGTCCATAGCATTGTTCGGCGGTACGAGAAGCAGCAGCAGGAGGAGTACGCTAAGGAATCGCGTCAGATGGAACATGCCGTTTCATTTTACAATTACTACGGATAACACACTGTCACTGGATCCACTGTTCCTCGCACTTCCTCGACTTCCCGTGCATGTTTATTGTATTTTGCAGTATTTTGAACGAACCCAGTCATAACACGATTCCCCTCGAGCGCCAGCTACTATGTATCCCGGCCAACTAGCCTATCCCTTCCCTTCTCTTACCAATTGTTCTAATATATTATTAAAAAATCTCTGGTTTAACGTATTCCCATCAAAAAGATGTAACTTCAAGTAATTACAAACAAATGTTTAGTCTTTTATGTACCGTTTATATCTTCTTTAGTAGCACTAACACTTTAATTAAGTACGACACACGACAGGACTGCGGCACCCTCGAGCGCAGAAACTGAGCGCGAAAACCTGATTACGTCGCTCATCGATCGAGAGATCGAACTGCTTATTGAACGTGAATCGATTATTCAAAAATTCAAAGGATTCACGCTGTGCATAATAATAATTGATTCGAGTACTGTTGATAGTTTAATTAAGTCTATCGAGGAAGTTCGTACATTTATTAAATATTAAAACACGTGGTTTAATTTGTATATGGAAAATGGGGAAAGCGCGTTAACAGGAATTGAATAAAGATTGTATCGAATTGCAGTTTTCCTGAGATCTGTACAGGCGCGAACGTGTGTGACTGCGTAAGTGAAACAGAGATGCTTGTTTAAGGGTGGGAACGTACGTACAAACAGTGGAAGACCGCGGTTCAGCATTTTGTTCTGCATTAAAATGGCTACTTCCTCGTTGAAAAGCACCCGGAAAACGTACAGCTTCGAGGAGAGGGAGATTCTGATAGCGCTGATAAACAAGTACGAAGATATCGAGGATAAGAGGTCCGATCCGATATCGATGTATAAACGAAAATCGGCATGGTCCCAGTTGGCCAACGAATACAACTCGATGGTGGGTCCGCAAGGAATTCGCTCGGCCGTACAATTGAGGCGTTGCTGGGAAAATATGAAAGCGTGTAAACGGAACAGGGAAGAGAAGAAATTGCGGTAAATTTTATATTTCACTTCCGGTTCTACTTGACCAACCGTAACGCAATAAAAAATCATTTGAGCTTTACGAATTTTATATATTATTATTATTATTATTTAGATGTTTCATTTTATCTGATATTTCATTATTCTTTTTACCAGTGGTATATCTAAAAGTTTCTGTCACATAGCGAAAGATCACGTGCGATCTAAAAGCTGGGACGGTAGGAATTCAGTGCCGGAAGTGACCGGAACGATTGGTTTACCGCCGAACGTCGTGTTCGAGCCGAAAGAGTCCGAACCGTTCACGCTGCAAAGCGTTTGCACTGTAAAACCTCCAAGACAAGCGATGAAAGAAGAAATTAATCAGAAGGATTCAGGTTGAATTTATTACCTTCTCTGTTCCTTCGTAATTTTCCATAGTAAAACTTGGTTCTCGACAAAGTTCGTTAAGAATTTTTTCAATTTCTATTGAAAATTTCTTTCAAAGACTTATATCAAGTTTCACAATTTTGTTCTTTTGAACGGCTTTGATGTCAAAGTAGAATTTAACGACGTTCACGAGCTAATTCAGTTCGCATTCAACGATCCCTTTTTCCTTTTAGACTCCGCTAGTGGCAAAATAGAATCTGATTCGTTACCGAACGGTCCGACGATCGACTGCCTCGATAAATCCACCAACGAGATGGACTCGTTGTCAGAGCAATTACACAAGGACGAGACAGCTGATAAGAGTCAGCTGATCTTTAAATCGAACGCGACCCAAACGTTGGTCTCGCCTTCGATTGTTCACGAGCAGCCTCGTAGGACGAAAAGATCTCTTCACAAAGAGGAGGATCTGCACGTATTGGCTCTGTCTGAGGCACAGATGAAGGTCGACATCGCTGCTATGTTGAAAGAGGAGGCCAGGATTAAATTAGAGGAGGCTCACTATCGTAAGGAGGAGGCCAGGCTAAGGATGCTCCTCTTTACGTACAAGCTCGATAGGATAAAAGAGGATTGATCTCCAGAGGATGCAATCTTCCCCGTGCAATGGTCTCTCCTCTTGTTTGTCTCCTCATTTTTATAGAAATATGTATCACGCTCATGTAGGGACGAATAGTATAGAATTTCTGTTGTATCTGTTTATTGTCATAGCAATTCATTTTTAACTACAGTTGAAATCGTAATAAATAAAAACTCATACGCTAGTCACTTAAGATATGCTGATATCATTTTTTAAACAGGTAATTTCTCCCTATGTATGACGTTTTATATAAACGATGCAACTTAAAATTAAATGTATAATTCAAAAGAATTTCTTAAACAGAGACGTAGTTATGAGAAATAAAAAAAAAAAAGGAAGCTTCGGTATTATTTATGGACATGGCAGTCGTAGCTGGCAATAAGTAGGTCAATTTGACTAGTGAAGTAAAATAATAAGGAGAAACTAAATGACAGATCACAAGCATCGAAATGAGATCGATATCTATTGAAATAGACTGTGCAATGAAAATTTGAATAGTGAATTTTCGTACATGAATATAATGCTTTATGTGGAATATACAAAAGCTATCGGTATTTCTATTTCATTCTGATTATAACAGTACGTAC